GTGTGGAATAAAGGTAAATTATGTGAAAAATAATGCGTTTTTTAACAAACGAAGCATTAACACATGTTAGATTATACCCCATAAACACAATCAAGCCTAGAAAAAACCCAGTGAACCACCCCTTTAAGAAAACAATACACCTGATCCTTGATCCATTTTCAGTCAGTTGGTTTGTTACATTTTTCAGTTTCTGAAAGGCTTGATATGACATTATATGGGTTACTATTTTATTTTTATTAGAATTTTGGGGTATTAAAAAAACAAATAAATAAAATATTCAGATTTTTCACATGCATTACAGTTGCAAATTTATGGAAGCATTGGTAATGTTGTCTAAATAGCTGTCTACAATTCTAGCTTCTTTATCCATTTAAACAGTTCTGTATTAATTAAAATACTTTTCCCTCTCTGGAAATATGGTCATAATGATGATTTGTGATCTGAGCAGTGATTTAATTCATTTCTTAGTGTTGGCTGTCAGCCATGCATATTAATTCTGGCACTTTAACTCTTTCTATGGTTCTCACAAGAAGCCATTTTGGGTTTGGCATCTGTATGTGACCTTCGACCAAGTTCACTGAAACATTCTGAGGTTTTAACCTCAAACTGGAGTGAATTTCATCTTAATTGGACTCGGTGTATGTGTGTGTGCTTTTTGGATGAACGGTGCTATAAAGCATATGCCAGGACAGATGTTTGCCTCGTTCATGGATGAGGTTGTGTGATGCTGCCAAACTCTCTCATTACAGGTGCTGAGGTCTGGAGCCCTGAGGGCCCAACCAGAGTACTGACACACACACATTGCATACACATTAATGCAAATACCAGACCCTCTCTAGACATATACACAAACATATATAGAAAACACACAGCTCTTCATATAGACAACATGCACAGACAAATGAAGAGGGTGAAAGGAGAAGGAAAAGAGGAAAACACGCAACTGCTCTCCAACCACACAGTGCCTGTGGAATCCCAGTATCGCTTTCCTTCTCTGTCAGGATGCCTCAAGCACCCTCATCCGTCAGGATTCACAGCGTCCCCGTCAAGGTTACAGTGCCTACACAGACTGTTCCTGTGGAGCTCGGATAAATGACATCCTACCCTCACCACATGCATCTTTAATAAACTGTCATCTCAGCCCTGATTTGATCCAGATGAACAGTTCGTCTGGACTTTTTTTAGCCAGACCCAACAGACCCTATTTAATGTAATGTAATGTAATAAAACATTTTTTTTTTTACGAAGGTTTAGTTGGACCAGCATTTATTTATTTTTTTATTGGTCACTACATAATACTCAAACTCTCATCTGTGGTATTTGATAGTTTTTGATCATTTCAAAATAATAATAATTATAAAGAATGACTAGCTGTACAAACTTTTAAATGGTAATGCAGTAGAAATTTGTTTTTAATAGCTGCATGTTGGGATTAAACTTTAATTAAAAGCAACTCATCTTTAAGCTCTTAAAAGAGAACAGTGCACATCTTTAATCATTAAAGGTGTGCACTGCTCACTTTTAAATGTCTGAAGATGAGTTGCTTTTCTTTTTAGCTTATAACTTATAACCTATTTCCACCTAGCTTTGCACCCCACAGAGAAGGTGTGGCTTTCAGGCAAAACCTATGCACTTTGATTTCACTTCCTGTGTTGTTTCGAATAATGTAGTGCAAAATGACAGCGCCTTGTTGCTTCTCTAGCAGTTTCACTACCTGAAATCACCCCCCTATGTCACTTCGCAGCTCAGTATTTGAGAGAATGGTTAAAGGAAGAGGCATATTGAGCTATGTAAAATGTATTAAAATATTTATTATATGTTTAGTATTTCCCATATGAGCTGAGCTTAGGGCCTAGGACAAAAGTTTGTGGGTGGATCAGAGGGCCTGCCAGCCTGGGACAAAGTTTGTACCTGAACATGAGATTTATAAATTGGAATGTGCAAAAACAAACCTCCTAAGAGGGTCTTAACCCCACCAAAAAAAAAAAAAGATGAAGTTTGACTATCTAGTGTTTTGAAGTGTATTGACTCTTCTCTCTCCACTGCAGAGGGACCGTTTCTCTGTGTATGGCGAGTACTGTAGTAACCATGAGAAAGCACTCAGACTACTGATGGAGCTTAACAAGATCCCTCACGTACGGACTTTCCTGCTGGTAAGCACCTTTCCTTTTCAAAAAGTCCAGTCTTTTTTATTACATCATATTCTGATGAAGATCCCTACCACATCCTGTGACCGTGCTGGCACAGATAAGTTTCACATATGAAGCCCTGCAACAGATTTCATTAGTGATAAGATCAAATAAACATTAGTGGCTAGATCAGTTCGTCACAGGAAATAAATATATCTCCAAAATGTATTGAAGTGAAAGTGATACCCAAACTTATTTTACTGTACAAACCAGGATGTGAGAGTGTGCCTTTCAATGCTTTCTATGGAAAGCCACTGTATTCTCAACATGAATCAGTTTAATGGGATGTTGTGCAAATCCGATCATGTGTTTGTTTTTCCAGCACCTCATGTTGTTAGGAGGAAAGAAGAGCACAGATGTTCCTCTTGAGGGGTATCTCCTCTCTCCCATTCAGAGGATCTGTAAATACCCTTTGCTACTGAAGGTACAGCTTCCCTTTTTCCGCTATGGCTATTTTCAAGCAAGTGCATTATGAGTTGAATATTTCTTCCATATATACTACTTTGCAACATTCTGATAGCCATACATTAACAGTAGCTATGTGTATGACAGGACAAACAAACCTAAAACTAAACATAAAATGACATTTGCAACATTTTACTTCACTAATGTGACATTTCCAAATGAAAAAGACTTTGTTTTATCAGTTAGGATTTATTTTTTTTAAATGGGTGTTACTATTTAGATATTTAGCGATAAGTTAACATTATGCAGTTGCCTGTGTGTCCTTAATGATGTCAGAGGAAAGGAAATTTGTTTAAAAAAATGTCGAGCTGTTGGGGAACGGTGGTGTACATTTATAATTACTCTTTCTTGGGAGTAAGATCATGAACGCATTAAATGGGGTCAATTTTGATTTACTATTGATTTTAAACAGTCCTTTATAGCCCAGCATATCAGCAGATAGTTGATGTATAACTGTGTAACACAGGAATGTACCTGCTGTTTGTCCTTCAGGAACTTTTGAAGAGGACTTCTAAGAAGCATTCAGATTACCCCGCAGTAGAGGAGGCCCTGCAGGCCATGAAAGCCGTGTGCTGCAACATCAACGAGACCAAGCGACAGATGGAGAAACTAGAGGCTCTTGAGATATTACAGTCACACATAGAGGGCTGGGAGGTGAGTTAGATACATGATCGCTCATTGTCATAGATGATGCACTTTTTTTCTTTTCCTGGTTGATGGTTTTAAAGGAACAGAGCAGCACCAGTTAGTTTGGTTTAATGTTTCTTTAAAAAAACTCTTTGTTATAGGGAAGTTCCTCTTTGACAGTATGCTTTGTGTTTATGAGCATTTTTTAAGCGTAGCCTCGAAAGAATCACTGACGTGAACATGATCAGTGTCGCCTTGTGTCTGCTGATGACATTTTCTTAGGACAGGAAGAGGAAGTCTTAACACAAAGGGCCGTTGCTATGGAGATCTGTTAGTTTTGTGTGCCACCACAAACTCCCCTCCTCTCTCTCTTTGCTCGTCTTTCATTGCTTGTCTCTCCCCGCCTCCTTTTTTCCATCATCTTCTCTATGCCATAGTTACTTTGTCTCCATCCTCTCTTTCTCTCACTCTTTGTACCCTGTCCATTAACCCTCTTTATTGATTTATCCGATGCAGTACTGAGTGGTTGTACAAAGTGGGGCATTTTCTATAGCTGGCGTTGAGCCTTAAGTGTTGCTTAGATGGTTAAAATTTTCACCGTTTACTGCATACAGTGCATTCTTGCTCCTGTTGAGTTATTTTCTAGTCAAATCATGCCTCTGTGAACATTCAAGATTCCTGCAAAGCATGACAGGATGGGGATTATTTAACATATTTTAAAGTTTGTGGGTAGGAATAGTCTGCCCATAAAAAAATATAATTGTCATTATTTACTCAATCTGATGTTGTTCCAAATCCATATTGTTTTCTTTCTTCTGTAGAACACAAAAACAAGTTAATGTGGGCTGTCAAACTATAAAATGACAAGAATAAATGCAAAATGTACAAGAAAATGCAAAAGTTAAGTTTCATAACACTTCAGAAAACTTGGAATGTAGAATATAATGGAATTTGTGTCTTTGTTTTTTTTTTTTGTTTTTTTTTTTACATAAAGCTTGACATTCTAGGTATCCATTTACTTTCATTATATGAAAAAGAGCAGCAAGTACAATCCTGAACATTTCACAGAAGAAAGCAAATAATATGAGTTTGGAATGACAGAATTATTCCTTCAAGGTTTCAATTCTTCAGAGATCATGTATAGATAACATTAAACATTTAACACCACATAAAATGAGGGCTTAAACATCAGGCTTTATGTAACCCCAGATATAGAGTGTTTCAGGATGTGGGCTCTGATTGAAAACAAATGCATTAAGTTTCCATTTAGTCCAGAGTGTTTCACCTTTATAGGTAAATAGTGCAGAACAAGCGGGAAGCAGATTCCCATCTCTCTAATTGACCCGTCTGGGCACGCCATTGATTAAGCAGAGAAGATGGAGTCTGCTTATCAAACACACTCACACACGCACACACCTGCTGAGCATAGAAAATCACATCCTGTACAGAGTCAGCACGAACCGCAGTGTCAGAGTGGAATCAATTTTTAATGGTACTGGATATTGAACAGGACACAGTCTGTGTTACCAAAACCTGTCGGGCTTCCTCAGGCCCCTTAAAGAGAAAGGAGACGCTCTTATCTGAGGCACAGATGGAAGGTCTGGTTTAGTGACCAGATTGGAATTGTTTTAAATTAAATTTGACATTCTCACTGTCATAAAACACAAGGAGATTGCAAACGAAGGCAAATATAATGTCCACTTGTTGAAAAGATGGATGATCAAATAAACTGATGTATAAATCTTGGCAGCATCTTCATAATTTCTTTCAACTGCCGCTACATGAACATAGGCAGCTAATCACTTCTGAATAAAATATTTATCATGGAATGTTTATAGTAGAAACCCTTATACTGTTCTTTTTCATGGAACTTGTGAAGATGCATGTTTATCAAAATCAATACAAATATTCCTTTGTTTTGTTCTCCAGGGGACGAACTTGACTGATATATGCACTGAACTGTTACTCCAAGGCAACCTTTTGAAGATATCAGCTGGAAACATCCAGGAACGGGTCTTCTTCCTGTTTGACAACCTCCTAGTCTACGGCAAGAGGAAGTCCCGGTTAGGCCTTTAAGATGCTTTTGAGTTTTGTATTAATCTGGTCTGTAATATTGGTAACCTATCTGCATAAACATGCATAAACATGTTTTCTTGTAGATTACTGTTATCCCTAGTAAAACTTCACTGAAACAGCCATCAGAATCATGTGTAGAAACTAAACAATATTGGTCTCATTTTGTTCTCTCTTTAAAAACCCAGAGTGTCTGGGAAGAAATCCACCAAAAGGACAAAATCCATCAACGGGCCGCAGTACGTGTTCAGAGGCCGCATCAACACGGAGGTCATGGAGGTCGAGAATGTGGAAGACGGAACTGGTAGGTTTGAGTTTGTTAGTGCTTTTAAAGTGTTAGTGCTCTTAATGTGTTATGTATTTTCATGCTGCTTAAGAGTATTGAATTGTTAGCTTAGCAACATGCTAACTTCAAAGTCTATTCAAATCAGTTGAGTTTCCTGTGCAGCTAAGTAGGTTTTGAAACTATTGTGTTTGTATCCTGCCACACAAATATTAATGTTTTAAAGATTTTTAAGGTTTTTAAAAAAAGATTTCTGTTATGCTCTTCACTGCATTTATTTCCATCAAAAATACAGTAAAACGGTAATATTGTGAAATATTATTACAAAATAAAATAACTTTTTCCAATTTTAATGTTTAAAATTTTTATTTATTCTTGTTAAAAACTGATTTTTTTTATCAGTCATTACTCCAGTCCTTAGTGTCACATGATCCTTCAGAAATCATTCTAATATCCTGATTTGGTGCTCAAAAAACAGTTCTTATTATTGTAAGTGTTGAAAACAGCTGCACTGCTTAATACTTTTGTGGAAACCATGATATATTTTTTTCAGGATTCTTTAATGAATAGAAATTTCAAAAGAAATCGAAAGTAATAATAATAAAATTCTGATCATGTTAAAAAAATGTATAAAATAAATAATTAAATAAGCTAAACTTTTGAATGGTAGTGTACAGTACAAAGCAACATTTTCTTGGGATGTGTAAGGGAGTTTCCTGTATGATATCCTTTTTTTGTTCTATCTGATCACCATGTGATACTTATGAACATCACAAGAAACAAACCATTTAAAGGGAACTTCAGCTGATGCAGTAGAAATTAGCGCCTCTATGTCCTAAAGATAAGATCACGCAGGGCTTCTCAGAATCGAGCGCTTTGCATTTAGCACCTCTGTTGTGCTGACCGCCGAGAGGCCCTCGTCAACAGTGCCGTTTAGCTGTCGGGCCGAGCATGAAATTCAACTCTCAGGGGAAGCAACGGCTGCTCTTCTCACCTTTTGCTCTTAGTCTTTCACCACACCTTAAGTAGCAGGGTGGAAGTGCATCTTCTCTCTCTTTTTCTCTGAGCCACAAAGAAAAACATCCTTTCTGAAAAACAAGCCATAGGGCTGTCACAGTACCAGCCTACACCACACGTGCCTTCAGTTGATACGGCCAGTGTGAGACTGTGTTTTGTGTTTCAGTCTCTCAGTGTCATGTTTATCAGGGCTTGTGTCACATGACGCTCCACATCTGTGTAAATGCATCATTTAACTGGTGTGTTTTGCCTTATTGGATAAGGTTACAGATAAAATGACTTGCATGCTGGGGGTGAAGATTGAAGATAATTAGTTTGGAATTCAGATATTGGGCCTAATTACAGTTTTATGATTACAGTGTTGTTTCAAGGGAGATTTCAAGGCAGTTTAGTGATGAATAATGATTGGAAGGGGTAGGTGTTATGACCAAAACCTTATATCAAGCTATGAGTAATTTTATTTGCCAGTCATTTTAATTAATATTTTATGCTGCAATATCACGTAATATGGTATGTGATATATAAAATGTAGAAATACATTTATAATAATTTTATAAATATTAATTTAGTCTTATTTTAATATACCATTTGTATGTGAATTTCCAGAAAAATATACATATTATTAAATAAATAAACAGATAATAAATTCTATTTTATTTATAAATATTATTCATATTTTATATTATTATTTTAAATATTAAATATTTTACAAATTATCTTTTTTTTTTGAAACTGTAAACCAAAAGATAGGATTATTTATAGTAAATTAATAACAATAAAATACTGACTTTACTGCAAAAGCAGCACCATAATATGTAATGGTCATAATATGTATGTAATATGTCTTGAGTGGAAAAAACAAATGATTCAAAATAGTAAAAGTAATAAAATGTATAGTTCTGACTCTAAATTTTGATTAGATCAGTCACATTTGAAGCAGTAATAAAATGGCACATCATTTGTGGCAACAGGAAAAAAAGTGCGGCAACCTTAAACAACTCATTTTTATATTTTCACATTACTCCATGTTTCTTCATCGCTCTCACATGCAAAGCATGGCAATCTGATCTGCTTGTTTTGACTGAGCTATTGTTTTAATTGGAAAACAATCAGATAATGCTTAGGTGGCGTTTATTACTGAACCAGACTTGTGTGCCAAATAAGATTACCCATAAATTCTTTCCAGTTTTATATGAGCTAAAAGCCTTTGTCAAATCCTCTCAGTGCTCTGAAATCTATTTATACTACCTCAACATTAACCACTGCTCATTACCTATTCCATACCTCATTCATTTCTCCATATAATTCACCTGCTGTCAGGTCTGGGATAATAAAGGACCATGAGTAACAGTCTGAACCCCTCAGTCACACACATGCTCTCTTGTCAGGCTTTGGTTTAATGGTGGGAGAGAAGTGCCATGTGCCGAAATGCACCTTTAATTATTTCTCACACTAATAGGATAGTTTAACCTTTTTACATTATTAACGCTTCTAGATTGTTGAAGAAAATCTTATCTTATTATCTGTGTCAGCATTTGTGTTTGGGTCAGTAACTCATTTAGTTATGGTTAGAGGGAACCTTTTTAACCTTGGTAATGAGCTGACAAAATGATATCTTAGCGGAAATGAAATCTCCACATTTTTTAAGGTTATTTTGAAGGCGCAAACAATTTTGACAAATGATCTGATCTGATTTAGTTGTTTGCATGCCATATAAGTAATAGTTGTGTTGTATATAATGTTTGTGTGATCTAGTTCTCAATTGGTGTACTCGTGTTATTAGCGTTGATGGATATTGTTTAACCTGTTTTGTCTTTTTCGTGTTCTTTTACTTTGTCTTTCTAGCGGACTATCACAGTAACAACTACACAGTGACCAATGGCTGGAAGATTCACAACACGGCCAAAAACAAGTGGTTTGTGTGCATGGCCAAGAACGCTGAGGATAAACAGAAATGGCTAGACGCCATTTTAAAGGAACGTGAACAGAGAGAGAGTGAGTAATTTTTTCTTTGGTTTATAATGATGGAGTATGCAACATATGAGCATGAAATAACAGTTAAATGTAAAAAAGATTTAAACCGTTATAACTCATACTAAATTTTTTTGAATCAAACCAAATCATTAAAAAATTTCTGATGGCATGATGACTGGTTTTACAATTTAACATGTTAATTTAGTAAATATTTATTGTGTAAAATTGGTAAAAAATAAATGCAATTACATTTAAATGATCGTATAATAGTTATTTCGAAAGTGATTTGAAATTATTTTAAAAAGAATTTATCAATAGCCAGTCCTAGTCACAACATTTACTAAATAATCATACTTGTCAAAGCAAATATTTTTACATCTATTGAATAGGAATGAACCCATTTCCACTGTGCTTTGTATTTTAGCATCCTGCATTTTGCTATAACTAGTATGTTTTTATGTGGATTTTTTTCTTTTTGTTCTGTTGTGATATGAAACACCTGTCCTCTGCTGGGACACCTGTTCTTGTTATATCTGCTTTTGAGGCTTGTGTTTTACTACAGGATTGTTCTGATTGTTAGGTCACATGAGCATAGCAGTAAAACCACAAATATACCACAGAGCCCTTTCTGACCGCAGCTCTTATGTTTCAGCATGAAGTATTAGTCTGTAGGATCGGTTACCAGTGTCCAAGGCAAAGTCCTCAGCCAGAGTATTGTAATGCGGTGTGAGTTGGCGGTAGAGCGAGACATCACTTTAATGCTGCATTGCCAGATGAAAGCAGAAGTTTTATGGAGCATATCAGGTTTCCAGCGTTTGAAATCGGAGCCCATTTTAACAGGTGCCACATCAGTCACACCTCTCTGACCGTCCAGATCTTTAGCCAGCACCCCCTTCGTTCCTCTGTACAAGTCAAAGACATCAAAGGCTCCAATTTAGGAATTCTGGTCATCTGGAGTGTAAGATCAGAAAGATATTTCATTCAAACGCAAATCTGAATAACGCATTACAAATGCATGGTCTGCTTAAAAGATACCTTTAAATAATTAACTAACAATGTTTTAATAATTATTAGTAATTTTTAAATAATTGTAAAAAAATATATATATTTAAAAATGCATGTTAAATGGTAATATTTTTTATTTAAAATAAAATTTATTTATTTATTGTGAAGAATGTGGGTGAACATTCGCTGAATTTATACCTACGTTCATCCATTTCGTGTTGGTGTGCACTGTTTGAAATCAGCAGTTCAAAATAAGCAAGAAAAAAAAAATCTAGATTTAGGGTTTGAAATGAAGACATGCTCATTTCTAAAATTGCCATTCAGCATCAGACCTACAGATACCAAGGTGGAAATTACGCTTCAGCAGGGTTATTTCTGAGGAGCCATTTTTAATGATGCATTGCTTCTTTGCCGAGACTTGATTGAATTGGAGCCTCGTACAGCTGCCACGAACACCTTCTCAAAAAACTCTTTGTGAGCGAGAGCTGCAGCTGCCGGTGGCTTCCCTCTCTCCGGGGTCTCAGACACAGTAAAGAGCTCTGAATGAGAGCCATGCCAGCTGCCGCCACATCTGAGCACGTCCCACCTCCTGCATCAGCTGCAATCCCATTGATAGTCTCTCTTTAACACCACCTTTTGTATGGTAAAAACGTGAATGTTTTTTTTGACTGAAGGATTCTTTGCATTAGTCGACATACAAACAGCCTCGGACGACTTAAGTGTTTTTTTTTTTAGCCAACCTACTTTGTGCAAAGCTCCTGTTTCCGTTGCAGCTTGACTCTGGCTGCGTTGCTAATATAAACAAGGCTGTTTTCAGCTGCATTGCACTATTGCACAGTTTTTAATATGCAGTGGTGTTGTTTTCAGGTCTTTTCAGGAAACTGCAAACATTTTGGTAGAGGTCTTTATCTGCATCTGTAGCTGTATCTATTCTCACCTTATTAACCACATCATGCCACTCAAACAGAAGTGCAGCAAGAGAATGATTATGAGTAGTTTTTGGGTTGACCTGCCTTGAGTTATATGTGATAAGCAGTAACAGTTTAATGTCTTTTTTAAAGACTGGCTAATGCTACTTTTTATTATTTGATGATGGAATTTGACGAATAGAATTAACGGTTTAATTTTGTGTGTGGTGTGTGACTTGTATGTAGAATGCTGATACCGATTTTGTGAGTCTTAGCCCTTCAACCACCAAAATACCTCAAATAGCAACATGCATGTGCATGTGTGAACAGAAACACTTGCAAACCCGTGTCTTATAATAAAATCAGTTAAACCAGTGTTTCCTCTCAGCCTCACCTAAACATTAACTGACACAGCAACACGCACACTGATTTAGTGAAACAGCTAGTAAGTGACGCTCGAGGAGTAAACTGTAATTATACAACAGAAGTCTAAAGTGGTTTCTTTTACATTCAGACCAGTTCAGTTCCTTCCACAAATTTGCTATTAAAAAATATTTCTCCCCCCCTCAAGACCACTTATGTTTGCCAAATATGACTTATGATTTTCTATGAAAAATTGCACACATCTGACTTGGGTTGCAGGTGCAGCAAACTGAGATAAAAAATAAATTCCTGTACATTTGGATTTATTCATGAAATAACTTTTACAAAATCATTCATAAATTATTATTTTTTAAGAATTAACATTGTGACAGCATTTACAATAATTACAAAATAATACAATTAAACAATTTATTTAAACAATTTGCATGTCCCATGCTCCTAAATATTTTTTAATTTGTATAAATGTTTTATTCACCAAAAATACAGTTATACAATTATACAATTTAATTAAACAATTTGCTTGTTTCATGAATGAAGCAAATTGTTATTATTGCTCTTGGATGTGTATTTCTTAATTTGTATTAATATTGTTTTAACAAAAAATACTCCAAAATTTTTTTTATTATATATATATTTTTTCATGTGTATAACTGTTCTAAAAAATGTAAACTATCTCAAAACATTTGAATGTTTTTTTATTTTTTATATTTTTAATGACATTAAATTGCTGATTTTTTCACTTTTATTAGGAGTTCTTGACTTTTTTTTCTCATATTTATTGTCAGGTTTGAAGCTTGGGATGGAACGTGATGCCTACGTCATGATCGCAGAGAAGGGAGAGAAGCTCTACCATATGATGATGACCAAGAGCCGCCACCTCATCAAAGACCGCCGCAGGAAACTCACCATTGTACCCAAGTGCTTCTTGGGAAAGTAAGTTTGAGCATGATGTAATGCATTTTAGAGATTCTCATTTACAGAGGGGTTCACCTTATGACTGGTCAGTTCCCATGCCAGTGATTGGCTCCCTCTGTGCTGAGTGCAGCACCTTCCCTCGGCTGCTTTTACACCGTCTGACTGTCTCCTGAATGTCTTGCAAGTCATCCTAATCCAAGAGGCCCCTGCATGAATGAAAATGCATGCACACACACATACACACACTCACTTAGCTCTTGTAAATGCTTTCCCAAGCTCACTGCCAAGCACCCCATTGGACACAGACATTCCCAGCAAAAAAGCCTTCATTAAAGAGAAATCTGCATTCAGTCTCTCTCTTTTTTTCTCTCTGTATCTTTCTTCATTTTTCCCTCTCTCTTTCTTTCTATCGCTTGCTCACCCAGTCTTTCAACACCATGAATGAACAATGAGTGCTATGTACGCCATTAAACTTCCAAATACAGTGTGTGTGTTTGAGAGTTGAGAGGAGAGATTCCTCACACCAATTAAAATTCCCTTTTCGCACTGCACTAGTAGATAAGGGAAAAACACTGTGGTCCATTTAAAGCTATTATATTGATGCAATCTAATTTAAATGGCCACAAAAATTCACAAGTTCAGATATGAGCCTCATTAAATTGATTCATAAATCTGCAGGGCCTTTCCGCGGTGCAGTGTTGGGAGCCAGTAACTCAAAGTAGCAAATGCTGCTAACTTTATCTACATTTTCAGCAGCGTGAGTAGCTTAGGTGTAGCTTTTAGCTACAGTGAATAACAATATTGTGCAACAAAATGCAGTTTTTTTTTTTTAAGATAATGGACATAAACTTACTATCCTAAACTGTTCTCACAATTGCGAAGTCACTTCATTTTAGTGAATTTCAGTTGGAGAAAAGAAGAAAGGATTCGAAGAAATCACTGAATCATTTTTAAACTCATTTATTCATTAACTCATTCATAATTTTTATTATTATTTTGTAGTTAGATGCTGCTGTTCCATTTTTCCAGTTCTAGACCTAGTTTTATTTAGTATTATAGTATTTAATTTAAAACTATATATTTCAGTTTACACAGTTTGACTCTGATTGAGATCCTCACTGGTTTTGAGGCAGATTAATGACTGCTGATTCAGTCATTAATCAGTAAAAAAAAAAAAAAAGGTTAACTTGATTAGTTCAAATACAGTTAAGTAGAAGTAGCACTTCCGCTGAAGTGGCTTAATAGCAAACTGTCGCTGGCCTCACGGCCTCAGCTGTGCTGTTGTTCTCCTGTCAACACCTGACTGGAGGAATTTCGCACTGCTCCCTTAGAACACAATTATTAGTGCGTTTCAGCCTCGGTGGTCCAGGTGAAAGCAGCTGTGATTGGCTCTGTTGTTCGCTGGCTTGCGCATCCATCTCAGAATAGAACACAATCCGACTCCTTCCAGGAACAGCCGAGCAGTTCAGCTGTTAATATGGACAAGCGCTCTGCTACTGCTCAGACAGTAGCACTGCTCATGTTCTGACCATATAACCATGATAATCCTGCCATTGTTGCATAACACTTGAAAGGATATAAAAAATGGCTGTTTAGATGAAGGTGAATGATGAGTGAAAAATCCACCCACAAGAAAAACATTTAAAAAACATTGGTAACGCATAACTAAAAGTTCATCCATTCAGAACAGCAGGCCCACTGCTTAAGATTTTTTTTTTTTTGCAGTTCAAATAACAGTTTTCTACGGAAGAGTTAATAGTGCTTTTATACATATGCAAGCTTTACATTTCTGTCTTGCATTTCTGAACTCTACGTGTATTTCCTTAAACATTTATATTATTATTATACATTTCATTCATTTTTAATTTTTTACAAACTAAGAGCCACATTCAAATTATTTGCTGTGGTAATCAAGCTTCACTTGTATTCAGTAAACTAATATCTCATTATATCCTTGTCTGTCACATTCACACACACATACATACATCAGACAGATATAGATAAAAGCTTAAGAAATTCTCACACACATCTACGGCATGTGAGAGGGCTCTGTGTGCATTAGCTGTGGAGAATATTAAGGAGTTACATAAACACTAATTAATTCACCCCAGGGACGCCCACCTCCACCCCTTCCCTTTCCTGCCAATCTGAATTAGAGACTTATGTAATCACAGCAGACTCACTGTCTGTTTCATTTCACTGCTCTCTTTCATGGGCCTGACTGCCCTCTCCTCTGTGAACTTCCTCTGCAGAGCTGCACATAAAGGCCTTGTAAGCAGTCCGTAAGATCTACGTAAGCCACATCATAAACTTCTATTGTTTGGATTTTGTGTGAAGGGCTAGATTATGTGATTACTACCCGCTTATTGATATAAACAGTTTGACAGTTTTTTTATTAGTGGTCAATGCAGCTGCTGAAACGCATCTGTAATTGGTTAATATTCTTTTCTTTTGTGGTAGCATTATTTTTATGCTTAAAACCTTTTTGTGTTTAGGAGATTGTACTCGCCACATACTTGACACAGTAGTCTCAAATCACACACACTCAATCAACATGATCTACAATATTATGCACAATTGTGCTAATTTTCTCACATATATTGTTGTTGGTAGTACTGTTGAGTTGCATAGACAAGTAAAAGTGGTATTAGCTAGTATTGTCATCGCTGTCAAGTGTTTGATGGTGAAGGGTAAAGATTTATCAAGGTTAAGTATTTTAAAAGAGTTCATTAAGTTGTGCATGTCGTCAGCTGATTTGGAGGAGATATGGAGGGCAGATCAGTTGAGTAGTCAGGTGAGATATGAATGGAGAATCTGGTCGTCTTACTGTACTGGGTGGATGTGGGGCGCCTTTGGCACCCGCATCTTCTCTTCTCCTCCTGCTCCATCTGTTAACCCATCCTTTCATCCGACCCCTCTACCCTCACTGCTGTCATTCAACATTTGAAGGACGGACACACACACACACACACACACACACACACACCCCCCACCCCCTTCTCAGTTCTCACATTTCCTTTAAGGCATCATAACGGTTTACACATTGCTTATTTCTGTCACTGGATCTAATGGGATTCACAGTTTCTCATGCAGCAGTCATGCACATTTCAGGCATGAAGTCACACACATGCAATCACACACAACATTAGATTCACCACTAAACCACCTCACACATGTAATTGCTGAAATTTCTCCCTAGCCCTCATCAGAACCCATTTATAATTGAATTACTCCTCTTGAAAATGTATTTTGGCAGTTGATCAGACTAGCTAGCATATACAGTATACTAGCTACAGAAGTGTGTGTGTGTGTGTATATAATACTATATTTTATGAAGAGTTTATTTGCAAAAACAGATAACTCTTTTTTTTTTTTTTTTTCATTTTCAAAAATTTTATTTTACTATGTTGTTATGTTTTTACTGTGTTTTATTGTTAGTTAGCTGTATTTTTTAGTTATTTTTAAATTAATCAAAATAACCCAACTGCAGTTTGTTTGAGATTAATTGTACAATTAAATGCACAATGAAAAAACATGATTTATTAAAGTTATCTGCTTTTGCAAATGAACTCTTCATATTATTTTATTAATATGCATATGTATATTAACATTATATTATATTTATTATATTATATTATTATAAACAAAACTAAGATCTAATTAGATACTGAATATTAACAAAATGCTTATCAAATTAGTTTATATTTAATATATTTTTTTATATATCTGAAATATTTCATAAATAAACATAATTTATTAATTTAAATTAAATTTATTTAAGTTTTTGGTTGAAGTGATTTCCTGAAACTAAAGCAATATGTGAACCCTACTTGTGATGTTTGAACTTTTAAGTCCTTAAGAGGTTGGAATGCAGCTTGATATCATCATGATTTGTGTTCTTGGTGAACTTTTTACCAGTCTTGACCAGTCACTCTGGAGGATTGAGGGAATCCAAGTTCCCAAGTACCTTTGACTAGGGTTTCATAAATCCTTCCTTTATCATGCGTGCAGCATTGTGTTATGTGCAGACTGACACAGCTGTTGTCTCTGTGTGTCCTCAGTGAGTTTGTCTCATGGCTTTTGGAGAGTGGAGAGATCAGTAAGTCTGAGGAGGGAATCAACCTGGGTCAAGCTCTCCTGGAAAACGGCATCATCCATCATGGTAAGAGAAGGTTCTCCCTTGAAGAAAATTGTGTTGTTACCTTGATTTTGTTGGACATGGACCATGGTATTCCAGTAGTATCATTTTTAATTACTTTAGGGTACTATGTAAATGTGAATATAGTACTATGGTATTCAAATACCATAGTTATAATATCTTATCTTAGGATGTGCAAAACCTACATATTTTCAGAATCCACCAGTTGGTGGGTTCCATGAACATCTGTTGACATAATGGAAGCTCTATATCAATTGGCTATAAATAGCTAAATTTATACATAAACAAGACTAATGATTAGTCAAGATAATGACTAGTCAACCATTGTGACCCATCACTGTAAACTAATTACTAATTGTAATCACTGTTACTTCATACAAATCTATTATTCTTTTTCTCTCTCAGTGTCTTCTCTCTTTTTCTGTCCTTTTTTTCTTTCAACCTCCTCTCAGCTCCAATATATTTCATCATGTTTTTGAGTGTTGCTTGGTTTCACCACCAAAATGCAACTGCTGTCTGTTCTGTTTTTTGATACGGTCTTGCCAAATTAAATCCCAATCCATTAACTGTTTATACAAATGTTGGACTGTTAAAAATCACCATTTGATGAATTTACACTCTACAAATCTGGCAAATATCCTTGTTGGCCGGCACTCACTGAAATCCCCTACAGATGATCGGCAGTCTGGATAGTAACATGACATGAAATGCTGGTAGAGAACAGCATTATTCTGAATTATTCAAGAGGTGCAGTGCTCTGAGATCCTGAGATTTGGGGAGCATCATACCTCTATTTTACAGCCAGGGGATTGACACACAGTGAAAACTGACAAACACCAGAAGGGATTGGAGTGATGAATTCAAGTATAAGGGCTCAGGCGCTCGATCAATAATATGGTGGCAGCATTCAAGGAGAGGTCAAAAAGGCTTTTGTGGAGTGATGGCATTCACACACTTCAATTAATCACAGACCTTCACATACATGTTTATCAGCCCGAGTCCGGGAGCAGCAAAGTTAGAGAAACCAATAGATCACAAGCTCAATTCCAACTCATGGTGCTGTGTTATGTTAGAGGTGAAGTTTACTGTTTAGGCAAAACATAACCAACATTTAACTGTATCTATGTGTGTTTTTTCCACCGTAGTGTCAGACAAGCATCAGTTCAAGAACGAGCAAGTGTTGTATCGCTTTCGGTATGATGACGGCACTTATAAAGCCAGGAGTGAAATGGAGGACATCATCTCAAAGGTATTTCCCCTAGAATACTTGCTAAAATGATAGCTCATGTACAAATGATACATGAGAAAAGATAAATATCTTTTTTCTGCGATGAGCTCAGCAAAAGAATGAATCCAAGGCAGACAAGATGAGAGAAATGTAATTAGAAATTAGCTTAAAATTCATTAAATTCTGAAAAGTAACTTTAAAAAATTGCATTGCATTATACGTATTACTCAGTATGTGTTAGTGCTGTGCTAACATCAAACTCTACTGGAATCAATTTAGAGTCAAGTTTCTCATGCACTGTTTGTGCTAATGTGGAAAAATTGTTTGTGTAGGCAGCTCACTAGGTTTGGTCCATTTTAACTAGTCAGTTTACAGATTTAAATCAACAGAATCTTGAGTGCCTATGATCTCGATAAATAAAGACTACAAAATGGTCCACTTAAGAATTGTTGTCAACAACTCAGTCAAGCAGTGATTTCAACAGTAAATGAAATGAAGAAAGCGATGCAGCTGTTGGTGCAAATGCTTTATATGAGTGTATGTGTGTCCGACAGGGAGTGAGACTTTACTGTCGTCTCCACAGCCTCTTCACACCTGTTATTAAGTAAGTGACACATGTTCTATGACATACTTCACACTCCAAACAAATGACAAAACCCTTACTCAATTCACACTGTTATTAAAGCGTTATGATTTGTATTTAATTTTCTGACAATATGTGTTGTTAACACCCTTTTCTTGCACGTGGTCAGTAGCATTGCCATTTATTTATTGTCTCTTTTAGAATAAAATCCAGGTTATAGTTAAACATCTTTTGACCGCAAATACAAATTATTTTTAATAAACAACAGTTTAATTTCAACTGCAGTAAAACGTGTCCGTTTGTACTTCATAGATTCACCTTGCTTTTGCCTTTTAGTCCTTTAAGAGCCTTTCTGCTGTTATCCTGCAGAGAAAGAGACAGCAGACATCCCTGAGTGTCGTATTTCACATTGTAGACACGCCCACTTGTTCCACTGACCGTTGACTACAGAAAGCACAGTACATCTCTATCCTTTTTAGCATTTGAACCTGCTCTCCCTCTGGTCCTGTGAGGGAGGAATGACCTTACCTTTGCATCTTTTGAAAAACAGTCATATTCTCCTTCATTCAAAAGCGACAAGACAGTAACGTTTAATATTTATGATAGCGAACACGAATGACCTCTCCTTTTACTGTGAATATATAGACCCCTTTGTGTGTGTGTGTGTGTGTGTGTGTGTGTGTGTGTGTGTGAGGACTGCAGGGTCATATTGCTTTTCTGTCACCATTCACCTTTGATATCTAACATAATGAGCGAGGAGAGGCCATTGAACTGCAGTTGGGACCAAGTCTGGTCTCAGATCCACAAATTAACACAGAACGTGTTAGTTACTTGCCCTTTAGCAGATACCTTTTATCTTTTTAAGCGACTTACAGTCCAGGTCACTAATTACTCTACACTAATTGCAAGGACAGACCACCCTGGAGCAATCTGGGACCTAGTGGTAATAAAAGATCTCAGTTGATAGAAGATATTTTCAGATCATTGATCTCCATTAGCTGGGCTTAAACCCACCTTTGCCACTAAATCGTTCAGTACCCGCTTCAACACAATCACTGAATTGTGACATTTCCATTATTATATCAATTATATTAAAAGTATAAAAGGCCTAATTTGGGTTTTTCCAGTGGTATATTTTGTTAGAAATGCCCTGCTCTTGCTTTCTCTTGTAGTCAGATGTCAGATGTTGTTTATGTTAATGTCTGGACAGTTGTGAACCTTTTTAAACTCTTCTTTATATACAGAGACAGAGATCATCATTTGAAAACCTTCAAATCTGTCATACCAGCTAGCAAACTGGTGGAATGGCTTGTGTCCCAGGTAATATGAGGAAGGACACACACACATACCACTTTATTGCATAAACATGCACACACAAACACACTCTTTTGTTTGCTTTCAGCTCATTGTTTTTGGGTTTCTGTACACAATTAATATCCTATTTCTGGACTAATTTAATGCCTACTTATTTACAGTTTAATGTTCACAGCTGCTTCATTCTGTAATTTCATTCCAAACACAGAAGTCATTTAACATGATTTTCCTTCTTCAGGGTGACAGCACAACCCGTGAAGATGCAGTGACCCTTGGTGTCGGACTCTGCAATGCTGGTTTCATGCACCACGGTCAGTCTCTATGTCCACATATTGTTCTTGACAGTCTTCATATAAAATCATGATGAGGTTTTGGGTCAGTTACTGTTATAATGTTAGCAGATTTGCCAATAACTGCTATGTCTGGACTAGGGCTGAACGATTTTGGAAAATAATCTAATTGCTATTTCTTTTTTACCAATATTGCGATTGCAATTTAATATGCAATTATTTTTTAAAGCTCTTTATGTTCTGTATTATTCAACAAAGACAAGCTATAAATCATTGTATAGTATGACCAACACACTATTATAGATAGATTAAACATAAATGTTCTTT